AGTATATATGTGCTCTTGTTGCAAAAACAAGCCAACAGCAATCTGGGTTGTATTCATAGGAAGGTTACTTGCAAATCAAGGAAGCGATTCTCCTGTACTGTTCAGCACCAGGGAGGCCTCACCTGGAACACCGCGCCCAGCTTTGGGCCCCGCACTTCACGAAGGACACGAACAGTTCGGAAATGGTCCAGCACAGAGCAACAAAAATGGTCAGGGGCTTGAGAGACAAGGAAAGGCTGAAAGTACTGGGGTTGTTTAGTCTGGAGAAGAAAAGACCAAGGGGGTATTTGATACCAGTCTTCAAACACCCAAAGGACGATTACAGAGAGGATGGAGATGGGCTTCTCTCTGGCCGCAGGAGACAGGACTAGGAGCAGTGGCCTCAAATTGGAGCAAGAGAAATTTATGTTAAAGACTAGGAGGGACTTTCTGACTATAAGGATGGTCAGGCATTGGAACAGAGAAATTGTGGGATCTCCATTCTTGGAAACTTTCAAGAGCAGGTTGGACAGACCCTCCGCTAGGATGGTTTAATCAGGGATGAGCCTGCCAGAAGCAGGAAGCTAGACTAGAAGACCCTGGGAGGTCCCTTCCAGCATTACTGTCCTGGGCACCTATATATTTATAATTTCAACATGTAATGATCATAATTATTTACAATTTAAATATAGAGCTTCTTACCCTGAATTACCCCTTAACCCTGACTGTATTTTTGTACTGGTTCTTTAAAAGAGCTGAACTCAAAGAGAAAAGATCTAGGGGTATTAGCTAGAGCTGTGCTCTGGGTAATAGAGATTGACTGAAATAAAGATGAAAGAACATCTAATCTTGTCTCCTGTTATTTGAGGAAAGGCTTCTGTATTATCAAAACCAATTTTTAAATAAAACTATCCTCCTAAACAGATAATCATCTCCATAAAGACTAGCTTGCATTGCATGTCCTTGATTTCAAATCCAAGAATCGCAGTGTTATTGGACTTTCCCACGTAATACTAAACAATACAACATCTGATTGTCCTGTATCGCTTCCTGTATCAGGCAACTAGCTTTTACTTATTTATTTATTTGCTTTCCTTCAGTGTTAAGCCAACTTTTATGTACTGAAAGAATTTTTTTTTTTTTACCAGGGTTATTAATACAGGCAGTCCTCAGACTTAAGACACGGTTTCAGGAACAAATTGTGTCGTAAGTCGAAATGTTGCAACTCGGAACCAATTTTCTCATTAGAAACAATGTTATAAATGAGAGATTGAACCAAGGCCCGATACCCTATTTTCACTAAAAATACCCCAGAATTTTGTACTCAATCAATTATAGATGAGTAATATAGCTACATTAATGTATTTATATTGTAAATAGCAATCATATTGATTTGGAAGGACTTCTTTGAGGTGACTTTGCTGGAGTTTTTGAAGGGTTCTTGGCTGGAGTCTTCTCAGGAGTCTCGGCTGCAGGTTTTTCTGCAGTCTCATCTTCTTTCTTAAAGGAAGTGTCCAAGGAAGTTTGGACAGATGCTCTCCAGGGAGATGGGTGATGCAGCGAACTTGTTCACTGGCGTGGCGTCGCATTGGATCAAGAGTTGTAAAGTTGAAACTGACGTCAAAGTCGAAACAGGATGTCAACTGATAAATGTTGTAAGTGCAAAACGTTGTAACTCGAAACGTCGTAAGTTGAGGACTGCCTGTATTGTGTGTTAGTGAAGTAACTCTGAAGAAGTACTTCTTCCCCAAAAAAGGCAAGTTGAATAGGAAAATAAATTTAAAAATTGAAAAGGATGAGAATGTTACAGCTATTCTACAGAGGGACTAGCTCTCTTTAAAATCATTACCAGTAACCATAAAAGTCTGTCTTCATTCCAAAGCTGCATCCTTTACCTTTAAAATACTTAAATAGCTGCCTTTGATATCTGATGAAAATTTGATCTTACATCCTGCCTGATCATCAGGGATCCAGGTTTTCTGTACAGGGGGACATGGAAAAAAAACAACACAAGGGGCTGTGGGGAGCAGGAAGAGGGCTGTCAGGTAGAGGCACCATGGGCATGTACATGCACATGGTCACCAGGTAGCCTGAAGAGCAGCTCCCGCAGGTAAGTCTGGGGGGTGCCTGGATTGAGGCCCCATAGGGAGGGAGGGAGTTGGGCAGGGCTGGGGCTGCTGCCAAGCTGGGCAGCGCATGGGCCTCGGGGCCAGGTTGCACAGCTGCAGAGCCCTGGCAGGGAGTAGGACAGGGCCGCAGGTGACTCATCCCGGAGGGCAGCTCCCTGCCACTGCGCGCACTCCTGGGGTGGGGGCAGTGGGGACCCTTGCCCCCCAGATCTGTGCACAGGGCAGAGGCAGGTGCAGGATGCCCACTGTGGGCTTGGGCTACCCAGTCTGCTGCTCTTCCTAGGGGCCTCCGCAGCCCAGTGGGTGGGACCTGGCACAGCAAAGCAGGGCCAGGCAGGGAAGCTGCTTGCCGCTGTGAGCCCTGCATCACCCTGGCAAGGTGTCCCCTGACCGCCCCCCAACAGAAGTGGGGGCAGTGGCATGGGGTTGTGCCCCTTGCTGCTGTGGGGTGGGCAGGAGACACCTTGTTAGGGCACCACAGGGCTCGCGGCAGCAAGGAGGTTCCCCATCTAGCCTCACTCTCCCCTGCCACACTGGGTCCCACCCACTGGGCTGTGGAGGCCCCAAAGAAAGGCACCAGGGCAGGGAGCTGGAGCCCGCAGCAGGCAGCTGTACCACTCCTGCCCTGATCTGGAAAGCATGGGTCCCCTCCTGCCCCCCAGGAGTGTGCATAGTGGCGGGGACTGCCCCCCCATCCTCCAAGCCCACAGCAGGCAGCCCACAACCCCCCTCCCCAGGCTCTGCTCCTCTGCTCCAGCTATGCTGCCCGTGGGGCAGTGGGGGGGCGAGGGGCACCAGCAGGGCTGGGAGTCTGGTTTGGGAGTGGGGGACCTGGACCTGCATTCTGTGAGCTAAGGGGGCAGGGGGAGCTCCAATTTTCCATGATAAAAATCCCGAAGTCAAACACCAAAATATATAGATATTTAGAATTTATTTTATTATAGTGATTGATGCACTGGTAGGCTTCCACTATCCATCCATCCATCATGGTGTTTCATTTTAATCGCGGAGTTGCAGTTTTTAAATCAGAGAATTTGCATTTTTTTTTGTCAGAGAAAAACCGTGATCCTTGCTGATCATGCATATCAGCATCACCCGACATTGGGTCACAAATGAAAAACACAAAAGCCTGATCTAAGGCTCACAAGATTCTATGGAAAGACCTATGCCTATTTCAATGGCCTTGAATTAGACCTTTTGCACCATAACAGTGCAATCTGCTTCCTTTTCCTCATTACCTTATGCTTCTTTAAATGTGCAATACATCAGGTTTTTGATGGTTTTTACAAGTTTCATGATGTGAAATGTCTTTTTTTACTGTTATCTAGCAACAAGGATTAAAGGAGGACACTCTAGTCTAGACGTTATAGGTACAATAAACCTACTGTTTTAATTTTAGATGTTGGACATCAAACTTCAGAGTAGAAGTGGCTCTGGATACCAAGTACATACTGGAGTAGTAAAAAGGAGGCTGCATAAGTGGTCAGGGGAAAATGTCTTACTTCAGAAACAGGATCTACCTCGTTGGGATGCTGCGGGAGAATTCTTCGTAATTAAGCAGCGCCATACCAGGAGGACAGCTCCCAGATCACAACGCAGCCTGGCTCAACGAAAGCTAAACCTGACTTCCCCACCTCCCTGCAAGGCAGCAGAGGTCAGTAATGTCAAAATTAAATGCTACATTAAAAAAAAAAAAAAAAAGCTAACAATTATATTGTCTTATAAAGAAGGAAGATAAAATTTCCCGTCTCCGTTTTCTGGTCCATGCTATCCACTTTTCTCTCATCATCCAAGTTATCACTTCATGTTTCCTCTTCGCTCCAAGATGCTCACAAAATTACCAAGACTGCAGTTTTGAACACTTTCAGTTCTCCTAGAAGTCAATGGGAGCAAAGGTGCTCAATAACTTAGGCTCTGGCTTTGCAACTCACACAGTGTATCTGATTTTGTACTACTTATCACTGCCCATTGCTTTACAGGAGGCTCTTTAACAGTGGGAGCAGGGAGCTGAAGAACACTGGTGTGCTGTCTTAGCTGAGGGGCTGCTGGTATCTGGTTCTGACGCCATACTTGTTTCAAGACCAGCCGTGGCTACTCACATCATCTTAAGAGTGATTTGACTTTGCGGTTTCATATGCATACAAGGACTGTATGTCAAAGGCAGAGCCAACCCTAGCAGGGTGCGGGACCTGGGGCAAATCAGCCTGAGTGGGGCCCCTTTAACACTGCGTGGGGCCATGGGACCCCCGTAAAGGCAGGGCACGGGAGTGCCATAGCAATGAAATTTGTGCCCAGGGCCAAGCAGATCCTGTGCCCCCAGGGTGAGCTGCTCTTCAGTGGATGCTAACCTGGCGGTGCACGGAGGGGGAATGGCCAGACTCTTCTTCTGCAGCACGGGGCTGAACTGTCAGCTCCAGGAGGGCCCTGCAGCTGCGGCTGCTCCGCCAGGTCCCCCAAAACGCGGGGCCCAGGGCGGCCACCCTGATTCACCCTACCCAAGGGACAGCGTGGTCAAAGGAATATGACATGGGATTATCCAACTGGTAGATCTTCTTTTTTTTTTAATCATTAATAAAGCAAAACTGCATGACTCCCCTGCTCCTTCCTAAAATACTTGAAGGATTCTAGGAAAAGTTCATGGAGGAGGGATATTTTAGAAACAACTTCTCAAAATGAAGGCAACACAGATGCAGAGGATGCTGCCTCCCCATGACGCAAATAAAACTCACATGTGTTTGGTGGTGCTGCTCTTTAAAAAAAACCCAACATGTTCTAGCCATTATTGATCTTGCATTATCCGTCTCTGCCACTCCCCTTCTTTGATAGTAAGGGCCAGGGCTTGGTATGGCCCTCTCTTCTTTTGCCAGGCAGGATGCAGGCTGCCGCTCTTACCTGACATTGTCATGCTTCTGGATGTAGATCTTATGAAACATCATATCCTCCTGTTTGGCGTTAATGTCAGCTTTCATCTCCATGGCAACGTGACGAGGAAGTACGGAGAGCAGGAGACGCTCCTGTGGAGTCAGACAGATGAACCAATTAAAACACCTGCTGCCCAGTTAACAAACATACTTTGCTTCTTATTTAAGAGAAATTAAGCCATCAGTTCAGTGACTGATGAGTAAAAGCAGAAGACATGGTCTTCAGAAACCACCAGCCAGTTCTGCCGTCAAAACACCTGGGGCCATGTCCCATGCACAAAGCAAGAGGACAATGATAGCAGAAGAAAATGAACTAACTGGCATCCCAGCTTCACTGTATACGCCATCCACAGCTATTAGTTCTTCCAGATGAAGGAGTCACCGACTCAATAAGTACCCACTTGCATACACACCAGTTGGGACCTTTACGGTTGCAGGATTTCATGGCATAGACCAGCAACCTCAGCGAAGTGGAGCTCAACCAAAAGTTGAATTATTGGTCAAATATATGAGCAGGTGCAAAAGGTGCTGGCACCTCACCCAAAACCTGTGCTTTGATGCTTTTATATAAATCTCGGGGCTCTCTCAGGTACACAGCTACACTGATTTCCTAGTGCTCTTTCACTTTGTTCACAAAGTCCTGCCTCCCTTCATGACTCAAAGGGCAATTCGAGGATAGTTGTGTTCCCAGAAGCAACGTAAGTCCATTCCTTTCCTCAGCAGCAACAAAATCAATGGGGCTGCATCCATGTAAATGGCAGGAGAATTTGACCAGTGGAACAACACATTTCTATTCATTTTATACCCAACCCCCCCCAGTGATGATCAGGGCCCACTTGCACAAGGTGCAGGAAAGCCTCCTACCCAGCCACAGTGGCAGTACCTCAGTGACCGACTGGCCTTGTCCACTGTCCCAAAACTTAATCTTTCCTGATCAACTGAAGTGCAGCTTCATTTAATCGCAATAAGGTTTAACGTGGCTTTCTTAACATGAATTTGTATGTCGTTGTGCATAAAGTTGTATACTCCAGTTACTGACGACCAATGATGGCTGCGAGGTCACTTTTCCTAAACACCACACAAAGCCTTTGCTCTCGGTCATGCTACACTCGGCAGTCAATCACATGGCAGTGTTTTGTGCCTGTCCTCATGGGCTTGGGGCAGTTATTACACAAACTGGGAAAAGTGATCGGAAACCAGATCAGATCTGTAACACAACAGAAGATTCATGCACATAAACTGCTTTCAAAATAGGTGAAACCAGTTTAAAATAAACCTGGATGGAAGTAGTAGCAGACTTAACTGGTTTAGGTTAAATGGGTTTATTGAACTTCCGTCCCAGGTGCCCTCCAGATTCAAGTTAACTCACAGTCCCCCAACATCCCAGGATGCTTTGCACTTCCCCACAACCCCTGTCCCCCGTACAGGGTGGGTGGGCTAGCTGGCCCAAGTTGTCTGCTCCAGCTGAGCAGGGAGGCATGCTCTAGCACCCCCCAGCTTCTGGCCTGAGCCAATGCAGGCATGTGGCTGCATTTCCAGAATCAAAAGTGAATGTCTGTTCACTTGCTTATCGATTCAATCTACACAGCTTAGACCAACCTGCAAAGATTGAATCAATTCAGCCTTGGGCTTTTTGACTGTCTGTATTTAGCTACTGAATCCAGGTACAATAAACTTTTCCCCTGCCTCTCCCACCCCCTTGTTTAATTTTCCTTAAATTCTTTAGAAAAAAGCAGGTTAAAATATGGACACCTATCCTGTTGGATTATCGCAAGTGTATTTTAATCAGCAGGCAGAGGCAGCATGCTCTGGCATGGATGTCAAAACCAAGTCTGTGCTAAATGTCACCAAGGGAAACAGAGAAACCCTTTCCCAGCTACACAGTCACAATCACAATCTGGTATAAATGAAGGACCATAACCTTATCCAGCAGCTCATTAATTCCCAACACCACAATGAACACTAGGGATCAGACTGCAGTCGTGACTCAGAGGGTCGGTGCTCTGGTACTAATTACTCACGTCATCATTAGACAACCTCTTGTCCATAGTTCAAATTATAAATACATCATTGGTTTCCGATTCCTATTTTTGTCACAAAGTTGCTCGCTTGCTTTTCTCTACGCACAGGATAAACTATGAGAAGAAAACTAGTTTCTGGAAAATAGTGCATGTGATACACCCACTATAGAAAGATTTGCAGCCCGTTAAAATTACACAGGGTTGACTTGCTTCCTTTTATGTGCGTTTCAAAGGGCTTGATTCTCATCTCCAGCCCTGCATATGGAGCAACAAAGTGGAACATGATGTGTCAGCTTCAAGAACATCTTGAGCTCAGAACTGCAGCAGCTGTGACAGGAGATGGTTGTCCTTCAAAATACATGACAAAAGAGATGCTTATCATCAGTCCATTAGCACTGTGAAGCCAATAAAAAAATTGTAGCTATTTACACACTTATTCTTATGCTTCTGTCAGACACTAGCACATTTCACAAACACTGAAGCACAACGTACGTTTACGGGAATAACCAAGGCACATGCCTACACAGTTGCTATTTGAATACTTATTGTAACTGCTATCCACAGACATGCAGAAGCTGCTTCTCCTATATAGGAATTAATGAGCTGCTGCATACGATTATGGTCCTTCATTTATACCAGTTTATGATTGTGATTGTGTGGTTGGGGAAGGATGCCTTTCCTTCCCTTAGTGAGATTAGATACAACTTGGATCCAAGTTGAACTCCAGGAATCAGGGACGCTGTAGTAACCTGTGACACTCTTGTGCACACGTGGTCAGGTGGTTGGATTATGTGCAACATGGTCAGGAGACCAAGGCTCTGTGGTAGAACTAGCAAGAGACTTTTTAAATGACCGACATAAAATTAACTTCTGTCTTAACTTACCCATCTGTAAAGGAGAATAATCATCGTGCCCTATTTCAGAGGAGCTCTGCCAAGCTAAATCCTTTGATTGTAAAATGTTTTGAGGTTCTCAGTGGGGAAAAAAGTTGGGGGAGGGCAGGAGCAAGCAGCTATGAATGATTGGGTTACTTCCTCAACTACAATCTGCTTTTATGAAAAAAGACAACTGACTGGAAAAAATACCTATACAGGCAAAAGAGCGTACTGTCACATTATGCGGCATATAACAAAGTACCTCAGTAAAGCAACAATCTGTGTCGCATCCGGGTATCCCACGTGATGCATGGCAATGCAGTTACAATCTCAGCCAAAACAGAGTTTCCACTTTGCAGAGACATGCCACAAAATGCTACAACTTTCATCAAAACCTTATGGCACATATAGACCAGAAGAGTGGTCTGGTCACAATACAGGTACGTTACATTGGCATCTGTCCAACGGGAGAAGAGAGAGAGAAATAAGGGGAAACTCCCTGCCTCGTGCAAGAATACGTAGATAAAGATGCAACTAAAATGGTTTCTTCTCAGTTTGATATGTTAGTCACAAGGATGGTTTTCTACACACGCGTTCATGTACCTGTACACAAGCTAGGAGTATTAAATAGTAATCCTGCTGTTTCCCCACAAGGGCCTCAGAAGACTTCAATTTTTAAATGTTAAACCTGGGAATATGCTAGTGAGATAGAAATTAATGAAGTAATAAATTAGACCTGTTTTCTCAAGAGGGGGACTGAAGCATGCAGAGAGGTAATAACTTCAGAGTAGAAAGAAGAGCAGTGCTGGGAGTCGAATCCCAGTCTCGACTTCCAGCCTCCTTAGAAAACACGTCCCCTTGGAGGTTGCGCTTCAGCTCAGAGCTCTTTCTTCTGTGCCAGTGAGGATCATCTCAGCTACGATGCAGTGAAATCACTAGAAATCTGTATTCTGGCCTGGGCAATTCAGATTACCTCCCAGCTAAATGACTGGTTCAATAAGCCTGAGGTGCTGCAGGTGGAAGATTCACTGAAGGAAAATATGAGCTGCTTTGACTGAAATGGTTTGCCTGCCATTAGTACAGGAGATTACCCTGTGGGAGTGTCATCAAATCCCCAGATGCTGCTAGGTTCTTTGGGTAAATGTGATATCTTTTATTAGACCAACTAAATAGTTGGAAAATGCTGTGAGACAGGCACATAGCAGCACTTTGCCCATATGGCTCTTTCCTACCCTGGAGACAGGTTTTCTCCAGAGGCAGATTCAGCTCTCATAAATCAAGTCTTTGGCATGTGAAGACAAGTGATTGCAATCACTGGGGCGCATTTCAAAGGAACCTAGGAATTAGAGCTGGTGCAAAATATGGTAGCAAATTTTGCAATGCAAGGTATCTTGGGGTGAGCTCCTCACATCAAGGATCCAAGCAGGCTTCTGAGCAGAGCTTAAGCAATTACTTTGGACCTAGAAACCTCGACATAGCTTGAAACCTATCTACTCACGAGACTGTGTGCGCGCAACATCATCATAGTTGCCATCAAGGGAGAAGAGCGAGCTGGAATCTCCTTTGGTTAACAGGGGAGGAGGGAACTGATGGTGGGGCACTGACCGTGCAGCCCCACCCAAGGTGGATAAAAATCAGCTATTTTTAAAAAAAAATTAAAAATCAGAGTTTTTAATTTAAATCAGATTTTAATTGGGGTTTTTTTTTTTGTTAAGATGCTTTAAAAAATAACAACACACAAAACCTATATAAAGATAGTTTTAATTTAAGATATGTTAATGCTTAAAGATAGAGATCTTTAAGGAATAGAGATTATAACTTCTAATTATATATGATTTGAGACAACATTTTCATGCAACTTCTTTAGAAAAAAAGTTTCTGTTAGTGCACACTTAGTGAAGGGGCACTTGGGAGGGGCTGGATGTGTTCAAATCAGCAGGCCCGGATGAACGTCATCCAAGGGTGCTGCAGGAATTGGCCGGTGTCATAGCAGATCCGCTGGCATGGCTGTTCGAGCACTCATGGTGCTCCGGTCGGGTCCCAGAGGACTGGAAAAGGGCCAGTGCGGTTCCTATTTTCAAGAACGGGAGGAGGGAGGAACCAGGAAACGATAGGTCAGTTAGTCTC